CTATGGTCTTCCTTATTCACTGTCCACCTTTCACATGCATATGAGGTTATTGAAAATACCATGGCTTGGGAAAGACCACTAATTAGAGCCCTAAATATTGTTACTCTAGTAACTGGTGCCATGGTGTGATGCTGTGGGTTAATACGCTGAACTGCAAGGTCGGTTTGAACCACAAGGTCAGTGGTTCAAGCTCACCAGCTGCTCCTTGAAAACCCTATACAGGGTCACTATGAGTTGGGACCTACTTGATGGTATGCAACAACAACAAATATTGTTAACCTCCAAGTGGACCAAACTTCAAGGTTAAAGATTATGTGAATCAGGACATTATAAGATTTTCTATTTAGGTCCCTGGCTGGTACAAATTAGCGCTCAGTGCTGTAGGATTAGCACTGGGCTATGAACCACAAGATTGGTAGTTCAAACCCACCAGCTGCTCCTTGGAATCCTATACAGGCTTGCTATGAGTCGGAACCGACTTAATGGCACTTAACAGCAACAACACTAACTGAAAAGTTAGCAGTTCACATGTGCCCAAAGGCGCTTCAGAAGAAAGGCCTGGTGATCTGCTTCCCAAAGATTGCAACCAGTGAAACCGCCACCTCTCTAGAGCTCAGTTCTGTTGGGAAGTACGTGGGTTTGTCCTGAGTTGGAATCAACTCAATGGCAATATTTTCTTTTTTTTTTTAAAGGTGGTAGAATTTGAGGCTCTAAGGGCCATTGGCTTTGCAGTCTGATCCTATAGGCCTCTCCTGGTCTCTCAGTAAGTCATTTAAGGCTGGTCACTGGGCTGTCTTAGCTGACATCGATTGTTGCTACACCTTCAGACCTAGTTGTTGTTGCTAAGTGCCATCAAGTCAGCTCCAATTTATACAGATCCTGTGTAGGGTCTCTGAGGATCACCTGCTGTGTTTGAATTACTGACCTTGTGGTTGGCAGTCAAGTCCTTATCCTACAGTGCCACATCAGGACACCTCAGACCTAGCTAATGTTGTTGCTGTTAAGTGTCATTGAATCAATTCCAAACCATAGCAACCCTGTATACGGTTTCCAAGGAGAAGCTAGTGAGCTTGAACCTCCAACCTGTGCCTCCAACTGGCTTTGCAGTCCAACGCATGAACCCACGTAGGTTATATCATCTCCAAGGAAGAAAGGCCTGGTAATCTACTTCTGAAAAACAAGCCAATGGAAACTCTTTGACAAGGGTCTCATTCCTTTGTACATGATGTTGCCAGAATTCAGGAGCCAACTCAGTGGCAACTTTGTTGAGTGCCATTGAGTTAGTTCTGACCCATATGGACCTGTATGGGGTTTCCAAGGAGTGGCTGGTGAGCTTGAACCTCCGATATTGCAGATCAAATTGACTTTGCAGTCCAGAGCATTAACCCACAGAGCCACATCGCCCCACAAACCAAATGAGACGCAGCCTATACTCTTAGATCCTGTTGTAGAAAGAGACTTTCTGTCTTGACCAGCCTAGTGAAAGTCTTTGTTCTGAGCCTCTTGTATCTCCCCTACAGTCATCAAAAACACCAAAGAGGCCCTGGAGAACATGAACAACACATTGAAGGAACTGAAAAAAGGAGCTGCAAATCTGAATGCAAGTTTGAGCAACATCAAGAGCGACCTGGAGAACTCGCTCAATGACCCCATGTGCTTCCAAGGTGAGGTGAACGAGACCTGCAACAACATCAGAAACTCACTTGGCCAGTTAGACAGCAACACCAACCTGGAGCAGGTGAGACAGCATCATGGGGACCGTTTGGTAAGGTGGAGTGTGGGCAGATCCGTTGGGAGGACTGTGGCCTGGGTCAGAGGGCATTCAGTCACAGCTCTGGACTGTGTCAGATAAGAGGTGGGACGGTGAATCCCTGCTGGGCAGTTCCCTGCAGTTTGATGAGAAACATCAGAAGGCAGTCAGCTTTAAGAAGCAAAAACAATGCAGAAGATGCCTCCGCAAGTCAGTATAGTCAATATTTGGTGGAGTCCTCTTTGGAGTGTTGGGGAGTAAGAATCTCACTCTGGGGACTCAGAGGGGCCCGACCCAAACCAGGATGTTTTTAATCTCATGTGGTGTGAAGACTGGGAAGGATTGTGGGAGTCGATGCAATTGAATTGTGGCTTTGGTGAATAGTGTTGAGGGTGTAGTGGATTGCCAAGGGAACAGATAACCCTCTCTTGGGGGAAGTAGAACCCAAAGGCTCTTTGGAGACGAGGATGGTGAGACTTTGTCTCACATACTTTGGACATATTATCAGGAAGGACCAGGGCCTGGAGAAGAACGTTACGCTTAATGAAGTGGAAGATCAGGGAGAAAGAGGAAGACCCCCAACAAAATCGTCTGACACAGCGGCAGCAGCAGCGGGCCCCAGTGTAACAACAGTTGTGAGGATAGCTTAGGATGAAACAGTGTTTCGTCTTGTCATACATAGGGTCACTATGAGTCAGGACAGACACGACGGCACCTGGAATATTAACCATCATGGATACAAACATTTCAAAGATCACAGAGTTAGTGCAGCTCAGGCTAAGTTTCTCTGTGTTGTTGATAAGGTCACCATGAGCCAGAGCTGATGTAATTAATCACAGTAGCAACAACAATGCCATGTTCTCTGACTGCCCAAAGGAAAATGGTTCTAAAAAATCGGGGGTAACTTGAATATATAAAGTTCTGAAGGTATAGATAAGATGTTCATGTCCACTCATGACGTTTCATTTACTAATATAGTTATGTACACACACTAACACATGTTTATAAAGCCACATATTACTTTAGATATGCATTTTGTCACTTTCTTACTCCATGTAACAGTTTTATTCAAGTCGTTTGTATTCAGTATCAGTGTCCGCATAACTACCAGAACCACTTTGGAAACACTGGACGGTTTCCTAGAACATTGGATCTGAAGTTTCAATTAAGTTGTTTAAGATAGAACCCTTTGGGGATACATTTAATATACTGATTTACTTTCAAACATGTAGAAAAGTTGCAAAATTGGTAAAAGGAACCCTTGTCTTCTCCAAATTCACGAGGTGTCAGTATCGTGCTTTTTGCGTATCATTTTATCCACCCCCACCTTCCCTTCACCCATCTATGTATTCATCCACCCTTTCCTATATCTGTCTATATTATCCCATGTATAAATGCATAAAATAACATGCATTTTGTTCTTAATCATTTGGGAATAAGTTCTGGGCAGGCATTTCTTTTCTAAAAAGCTCCTCATGATTCGATTTTAATTGTACATTTTGTCAGGTGTATCACAGTAGTGATACCGTGTCCTTCTTAATACGTGCGGTCAGGAGACATATGCTGTTTGCCCCAGTATTGGTAAATAGATATTGCTGTTAATTTGTTAATTGCCTTCAAGTTGATTCTGACTCATAGCGACCCTGTATAGGGTTTCTGAGGAGCGACTGGTGAGTTTGAACCTAGCAATTCAAGCCCACCTTGTGGTCAGTGCTTTTCCAATGGTGCCACACCAGGACTCTTTACATCCATGTGTTCCTATTGTTGTTAGGTGCCATCGAGTCAGTACCGACCCATAGCGATCCTGTTTACAACAGAACGAAACACTGCCTGATCATGGGCCAACCTTACAATCATTGCTACATTTGAGCCCATTGATGCTGCCACTGTGCCAGTCCATCTCGTAGGGGGTCTTCCTCTTTTGCTCTGACCCTCCACTTTATCAAACATAATACTTTTCTGCAATGACTGGTCCCTCCTGACAGACAATATGTCCGAAATAATGAAAGACAAAGTCTGGCCATCCTGGACTCCAAGGAGCACTCTGGCTGCACTTCTTCCAACACAGATCTGTTGGTTCTTTTGGCAGCCCATGACACTTTCAATATTCTCCTCCAACACCATAACTCAAATGCAATCAATTCTTCTGCGGTCTTCCTTATTCACTGTTCAGCTTTCACATGCATATGAGGTTATTGAAAATACCATGCCTTGGGTCAGGTGCACCTTAGTCCCCAACCTGACATCTTTGCTCTTCAACACTTTAAAAAGGTCTTGTGCAGCAGCTTTGCCTAATACAATATGTCATTTGATTTCTTGACTGCTGCTTCCATGAGTGTTGATAGTTGATCCAAGAAGAATGAAGTCCTTGACAACTTCAATCTTTTCTCCATTGATAAGAATGTTGTTTATTGGTCCAGAGGTGAGGATTTTTGTTGTCTTTACATTGAAGAACAGCCTATACTGAAGGCTGTGGTCTTTGATCTTCATCAATAAGTATTTTAAATCCTTATGGCTTTCAGCAAGCAAGGTTGTATCATGAACCTTGCTGCAAATGAAAAGAGTATTCCAAGACACTCACCAACAAAACTATTACTTGTTAAAAGTGCTCGTGAAAAGGTTTGTTTACAGCCATATGTTGTTGTTATTAAGTGCCATCAAGTCGGTTCCAACCCATAACAACCCTGTATAGGGTTTCTGAGGAGTGACTGGTTGAGCTTGAACCGCCGACTTTGCAGTTCAACTGACTTCTCAGTGTGGCACGTTATACATAAGGCACTTAAAATTATGAGATCTCACAAAATGAATTTTTGTTAAATTTCTTTGCTTCAAATTTTAGTTGATTTCATCAGGATGTCTCCAAGCATCTAAGAGGTCATTCTAAGCTGACCTTTTCCCCCAAACAAAACTCTTGTTCAAAATAAAATTGAGACTCAGAGATTTCAATATATGAAGGATCTATGGAGAGTCATTTTGGGGGAGGGATGTCTGACTTGGCTTACATTTTATTTAATAACTTTTCAGCTCCCGTCTGTGGAGGATCAGCTCAACAGCGTTAACGATGTGCTGAGAACAGATTTGGCCGGCTTGGTTGAGCAGGTATGTTTGGGGAAAAATGCAGTGGACAGCACATAGACAATTGGAAACCAATCCAAAATGCAGTGGAATTGTGCATTAGGGTAAAGAAAAAGAGTAAGAATTGTTAGCTTTCCGATAATCTTGTTCCTCCTTCAAAGTCAAGGAATCTTTATTTGGAGACTATTCTATGCCAAACACCCACTAAGGCAGTAAAAGATAAAGAGAATTCGGCAATTTCTGCCTTTCTGGGGCACAGATTTCAGTGGGTGTAGGTCCACATACTGTTTTACTCCGCCTTTGTCTCCTAGTGCTGCTGGCTGGCTTTAAGGAACAGAGTCTGGGAGGTTAAGCCTCCAAATTCAGGGCACTGGCTCTGGGAGAATGTTTGCTCTCTGTGAGCTCTGGGGGAAGGTCCCTGTGTCTTTACAAATTCTGCTGCTTGGTTCCTTTACAGTCTCCATGTGGCGTGTATCTTCCTCTCCATTTCCTCTGAATCTGCTCTTCTGTTTCTCAAGAGTGATTGGCTTAAAGCACACTCACATGATCTTTTAACATAACAAAGAAGGCCCTATTCCCAAGTGGGATGGCAGACAGGTGCTGGGGGAGGGAAGGTAGTGGCTAGGATTTATAACAAATGTTTTGGGGGAACACAATTCAAACAGACTCTTTTACAAGATGCTTCCTTGCTCTGTCCGTGGTCTGCCAGCATCGTTTTATGTTTCTTCCATTCTGCCATTTGGACATGTGTAGGTCGGCAGTTCAAATCCACCAGCTGCTCCTCAGAAATCCTATACAGCGTCTCAATGAGTTGGAACCGACTTGACAGTTCTAAACAACAAGTCCTCTGCCTGGCACTGTCTTCCTCTCTTCCTCCTTTGCTTAGTTTGCTGCTGTCTAATCAGCCTCCATTCATGGTAATCCCATGTAGGAAACATGGCTGGTCCTGCGTCAGTCCCATGTGATCTCTAGGATTTCCAGAAGTGGATAACCAGGCCTTTCTTCCTAGTCTGCCAGATCCTTGAAGGTTCACTGTAATCTGTTCAGCATCATAGCAACCCTCAAGCCTTCACTCACAGACACATGGTAGCTGCAGGGGCTGGGAATGGAACCTGTAAACTGACTGACACCGGAACGTTCAAATGCAGATCAGTGTAAGGGTCAGACCTACAGAAGACCTACTCAAGCACTGACATGCTGGCTAGCATCTGTCACTCATAAAGGAAACAGAAGTTGTGACCAAAGGAAAATTATCTGGCTGGGACTGCACTAAACAGTCCGCTGAATATACCAGGAAACACAGACTAAGCCCCTTTCAGAGGCGATGCTGCTGCACTAATAAGCCAGGCCCATTACCGATGAGTTGACTCTAGCTCCTCACAACCCCACAGGACAGAGAAGAACTACAAGGTTTGTTGTTGTTGTTGTTAAGTGATGTTGAGTTGCTTCTGTCTCATAACAACCCTGATTAGGGTTTCCAAGGAGTGGCTGGTGGGTTTAAACCACTAACCTTGTGTCTAGCAGTCCAGTGCTTGTCCTACAACACCACTGTTTGCAAAGCTGTAAGTCTTTATGGAAGTAGACTGCTACACCTTTCTCTTGAGATGCAGCTGGAGAGTTTGAACTTTTTTGATTGTCAGCAGAGTGCTTTAACCTAATCACCATGGTTTCTATGTGGGAAGAATAAAAGCCAAACACACAGATAAACAAATGAACAAACACACTGCTGTCGAGCCGATTTGGACTCATAATGCCACTGAGGCTCCTTGTGGGAAGATTTGTTGTTGTTGTGTGCCACGGAGTCCGTTCCGACTCTTAGCGACCCTGTACAGGGTTTCCGAGGCTGTAAATCCTTATGGAAGCAGAAAGCCTCATTTTTCTCCCACAGAACAGCTGGTAGTTTTGAACTGCTGACCATGAGATTAGCAGCCCAATTTGTAACCACTACGCTACCAGAGCTCCTTGTGGGAAGATTAGGACAATGGATTTTCAGAAAACAGATAATCTTGTGGTATAAGAAAACATGTAAGACAATGTAACATCGCATGAGGGTATGAGATCAGATTTGAAAGCTATGTAAAAAAATTGCTGTGTGGACTGAGCAGGTATGGGAAGAAGAGTGGGAATATACCCACAAATATATGAACACTTGAAAGAGGGTATTTGTACATGCCAGTGATTCAAACTCACTAGCAGCTCCTTGGAAACACTATTGTTTTGTGTTGCTATGAGTCAGAACCAACTCAACACTTAACAACAGCAACACAACTTACCTTTGCTACAAACACACCTATGAATGTGGTGGAGCATTTTTGTTGTTGTTAAGTGCTGTGGAGTTTCGACACATAGTGACCCTGTGTAGGGTTTCTGAGGAACAGCTGATAAGTTTGAATCACCGGTCTTGAGATTTAAACTGACTTTGTGGTCCAGTGCTTTATTCTACAGCGTCATACAAGGACTCCAAAGTGCCAGTGGTGACCAGGGTAAGACACCCATATCTGTACAATATCTCATGAGAGAAAACACAAAGAGAAAAGAATAGAATCTGATTTTCCAGTGCAATTACACAGTGAAATTGGAACTCTAGTTGTAGAGAGATAAAACAGAAAAATGACCCCAGACAGAGCTTCCAGAGAATACAAATTATTGTCAAATTAAAACAAAGGCAAAAACAGTCAAGTGAACCTATATGGCTTTGGAATAAAGTCCATGAGAGGGAAATGCCATTATTTCTAGATAACTCTGAGCAGCCCTAGTGATACAAGGGTTAAGGTGCTTAGCGGCTCACCAAAAGATCAGCGATTCTCACCAGCATCTTCCACAGATTGGTGGCAGTCTGCTATGTATAGATTTACAGCCTCAAACATCTTAAAGCAGTTCTACTCTACGCTGTAAGGTGGTTATGAGTTGAAATGGACTCGACTTTTTTATTAGACCACAATTTTTTTTTGGGGGGGGGCCTTTTTATTGTGCATTGAGTGAAGGTTTATGAAGAAGATCATCAGCTTTACATGCAACAAATCACACGCTTAGTTTCATCTTAATGATTGCAATCCCGCCATGCAACGACAGTGATCCCACTTCCTCCCTGGGGTTCCTGTTTCCAATCCATCCTCCTTTTCATCCCTTCTCAACTTTGTACCTAGGTACATGTTGTTCTTTGGGTCTTCAGTGATTAGCTATTCCATGGTGAGCATGGTGAGCTATCTCCCCTATATGCCTGCTTGGCTGAAAATTGGGTCACAAGGGTGAGTTCCATTCCAGGTGGTCAAAAGTCATAGTCTCGGGTTCCTCCAGCCTCTTTCTGACAAGTAAGCCAAGTCTCTCTCTCTTTTTTTAAAAATAATTTTGAGTTTTGTTTCACATTTCTTCCTCTCTATCTGGGACCTTCTAATGTGATCCCTTTCACAGCTGTTGGTAGTGTTGGCTGGGCACCATCTTACCATCTAGTTCTTCTGATCTCTGAGTCAGGGTGGCTGATGTTCATCTGCTCCATTGGTCCATTGGCCTAGTAGATTCCAAGTATCTTCAGTTTTCATCACTCTTCTTTCTTCTGCCCCTGGAGCGATCACCTTAGATATCCCAGTCATTGCTCACCAAAGTAGGATGTAGAACACTGTCTTTGAGGACCGTGCTGTCAGTAGTCCATGATGATGGCACTCAACAACACCAACATTGGCACTTTGGGTTGAATCGTTCTTGGTTGAGGGGCTTGTCTGGTCATTGTAGCAAATGTCTTAGCATCCCTGACCTACATCCCAATAGATGCCAGCAGGACACCACTGATTATGAAGTCACAGTGTCGGCAAACTTTTTCCTTGGGGAGCACCATCACCCCCAATTGAGAACAGTTGGTAGCATTAGATCTGACCATCAAAATTCCTAAGACCTGTATGAATAAATCTGTTAAGATCTTAAAATAATGGAGACACCTTACATGAAAAGACTTTTAGTGTTTTTGATGCATGTGATAAATTAAAGAAAATTTTTAGCTTCTCGATGATCATATACTGATAATTTCAGCCTTAAGATGAGTGTTGTCTTTTTATTTAACATCTCTACTCCATACTGGAGTCCTGGCGTGGCACTGTAGGATCAGCTCTGGACTGCTAACCACAAGGTTGGTGGTTCAAACCCACCAGCCGCTCCTTGGAAACCCTATACAACTTCGCTGTGAGTCATAACTGACTCGATGGTATCTAGTAACAATATACTAGAGGGCAGTGGTGACTCAGAGGTAGAATTCTCACCTTTCAATGCAGGGAGACGCAGGTTTGATTCCTGCCTATGCAATGATGCTAGGATGTTGAATAGGTTTCAGTGGAGCTTAGACACAGACAAGAAAGAAAGGTCTGGTGATCTACTTCTGAAAACCAGCCAGTGAAAACCTCATGGATCATAACAGTCTGATCCTGTTATGCCTGTGGTTGCCATAAACCCAAGCCAACTGAATTGCAGCTGATAACAAAAACAACTTCTGCACACTAACCAGAACTCCACAGTTAACTGAAAATGAGCATTCATTAGCTGTTCTTCTAACTGACCCTGTACATCAACTCATTTAAAAATATTTTTTAGGGCAATAAATCCTTTAACGATATACCCGAGATGGTGCAAAACCAAACCAAGAACATCGTATCAGGTGAGATTCATAGTTTGAGTCCTTTTGTGTCTGTGTGTTAAGAAACTGAACGGTGGAAAATGTTGTATAGTTTCAGATGATGTTTTCTCTTGCTCAAACCTCAAAGGCAAAAGCAGTATCAAAGCTTGAAATACTGTCACTTTTAATCTGTGTTGCAGATGAAAACAAACAAACATGAATCTTCTTATTTTAACCTTGTCAATACTGTCCCGCTGGCTGGCGCAGCCCTTGGGCAGGACCGTCCCTGTGTGACAAGGAGCCTGCAGGGGTGCTTCGGATAGCCGCGCCCCCAGATGACTTTCCTTAGGGAAAAAGGGCCCTACGGATTCTTAACCGGGAGGCTCCAAAAAAGTTCATAGGAAAATGGAATGGAAAGATACTGGAATTTTTCCACGAACTTTTGGAAGCTCCCTCCGATGTTCTAAAAGAACTTGAGTTAGATTTCTATTCCAAGAGTGCTATGCATCAGGATTTAGTTTGTCCTTTTTAGGAATATTGTCATCTGTCCTAAGATGCTGATGTCATGATAGCTTAGGTTCCTAAGACTGCTTACAGATTTTCAGCAACAGAATCAATGCTGAGCGAACTCAACCGGTTAGCGAATCATGCTGTCTAACATTACGGCATTTAGGTGAAGATACAGAGAGAGAGAATGCAGGATTGGAGATAAAGCTGGAGTGCGTTTTTTCAGGATGAAATCTCGGAAGCTATATAAAATTACTTCTTTTTTCCTCTCATTTTCCTTCTCTCCTCTTTTTTTCTAATAATTTTCTCAGTGTTTTTTTTTTTACCTGCTGACGAAGTAATTTCAAAATCGTATGTTAGAGGTATTTGATTTCTTTTCTTTTTTAATGGTGTTTTTTCAGCTCATGAAGATTTGGGGTTGAAAAAAAAGCATTTTATCTCACAATATAATACTGTAGATATTTTATTAGTTTCTGTTTTTTACATGTCAGATTATACTTTAATAAGCCTAAGATAGTCAAAGCAACATTCAGACATTCCTGTACTAGAATCTTCAGGCTAGTGCATGCTGCGTGTCTGATCAACACATGCTGACTAATATCTGTGTTCAATTTTGCACCTCTTTCTGGACCTCTTCTGCCAATGTGTGCAGCTCTTCCTTGTAAGTCAGGCACCTCAAAACTCCCAGCATGTATGTTGAAGCCTGCTGCCTACAGCGATGTTGCCTCAACACAAGCCAGAGTTTTCCCGGGTCCAGGTAGATGCTCTCCATCAGCCTGGATAACAGTTGCCTATTTTCCCGTCCTTCCCAAACAAATGACAGACTTCTCTCCTGTGTTTTGATCATTTTCTCATTCATCACTTTTTTGCTTGGTTGTTTGAGTGCTTCCTATGTGCCAGGCTCTGCTATAAAGTATGGCCATGCCTACCCTTTAGGTAGGCATGTATTGAACACCACTGATGACGTTCTGTTGACATTGACGAGAACCTCCTAGTGTGATGCTGTAGAATAAGCACTGGACTTTGAACCATAAGGTCGGAAGTTCAAACCCACCAGCTGCTCCTTGGAAACCCTGTACAGGGTCACTGTGAGTTGGAGCTGACTTGACAACACTTAACAACAGTAACATGCTAGAGAGCCAAAGCAGGAAAAGGATAGCAGAAGGCTGCTGGGAGGAGGAAGCAACATCTAAACCAAGGCTTGAGGAAGATGTCTGCTTCTACAGGGCAGTAGGACTCACACGCAGAGTATCCGTAATTAATGTGGCCTGGGAGCTGTGGTGAGCAGGGCTGGTTCACCCAAGGGACTGATGGGGCCCGATTATGAGCCTAGGAAACTGCTTGAAAGATTTGGGAGTCCACTAACACAACTCTCAACATACCAGAAATCCCAGGGTTAAAGAGGAAGCCCACAGAGTCATCCTAGTCAAGTATCCTTGAGGATGTTGGTTCACAAGATATTTGAAGATGACAGTAAGCCCTTGAAGAATATAATCTTCTCCTTATGAGACACATCCAAGCACCTGGCTACTGGTGGCTCATTTCTGTGCTTTGAGGTCTTGATGTCATAGCTCTGAGGAAAACAGACCTTTACAAAGGCCCCCCCACCATTTCTGTGGACCAAGTTAACATCTACCTAAAGTTCACCAGGAGTCCATGATGACATTTTAGGGAATGCTCTTCTTGGAATCACTGTGTCTGGGATCACTCTTGATGAAACCAACTTCAGATCTGGTGTGTGAACACTGGACCAGGAAATGCTGCGTTCCCCAGGTATTTTGGACTCCAGGATGATGGAAAGAAACATTCTAGAAAACTGATGTTTCTTTGAATTTACCTGCTTTCTGAGAAATTAGGATGGCTATCAGTGGGGGGTCTCTTTGACCACCA